GGCGCGGGGAGCCCGGGCGCGCAGGGCGCCAAATACCCGGAGCACGGCAACCCCGCCATCCTGCTTATGGGCTCAGCCAACGGCGGGCCCGTGGTCAAAACTGACTCGCAGCAGCCCCTAGTCTGGCCCGCCTGGGTCTACTGCACGCGCTATTCGGATCGCCCGTCCTCCGGTGAGTACCCAGCCCCCGGCTGCTCCCTGCCTGCCGGCTCCGCGGACGCCCCTAGAATTCCCAGCCGCCGCTCTGGGCAGAGCAAACCCGGCCTCGGGCGCTCTCGGCTCTCCTCGCCTGCTTTCAGCTCCTTAACCCCGGACCCAGCCCCAAGCGAGTGTGCGCCCAGTTCTGCGCTCCTGGGCCCTGCGGCCACCACCCGGAGTGCTACAGCTCCTGGCAGTGGAGGCTCGAGTCTTGAGCCTTCGATTCTGAACTCCAAACCGTTGGGGCCTTCTTTTTGTTTTACCTTTATTATATCTTGGAAAGATACACAGAGTCATTGGTTTTTCTTCCCGGGAAGGGGTGTTTAGAGCCAGCGGGTTAGAGCCAGCGGGAAGGCGGGCCTAGATCTGGGTCTGAAATTCCACCAGCCGAGCCCCAAGGACACTGCAGTCGAGCAAGGCTTTGACAGAGAAATGAGCTTCGTGGTGTGTCCTACAGAAACAAACACCCAAGCACCATCTAGATGTTTTCTGCGGAGAGTTCATTTACATAGATACCTAGAAACGGAGACACGGGAGGGAGAGAAAAGCGTCTGCCACTGGGCGGGTAGCAGAGAGAGTCTCACCCGGGTGGGTAGAATCACAGGGAAAGACGGTTGCCAAAGCGCCAGGAACCTCTGGCTCCCGGGCTTCTGGGACTGACAGACAGTAGGAGAGGAGAGGAAGACAGGTCAGACTCAGGCTAGAAACCCGGGCCGATCGCACAGGGAGGCAGCCTCTTCCGAAGCTTCTTCGCAGCGCGGCTCCCACATCCTCCCGGCCATGCTCCTTCCTTTTTTCACGCCTTCCTTCCGCACATCTGCCAGTTAACAGATTTCCGCCGGCCGCAGCCCCATTTTGGTCGGCTTTCCTTCGGCCCTCTTTCCCTCTGTCGCGCTTGGCGAAGCAGAGGCCAAGGCCTGCCCTGGGACAGCCTTCTGGCCCCGGCAGAGGAGGCTGAGGCCTGACCGCCGCGTCAGCCGAGAGGAGGGGGCAGAGGCTCTGGTCCACTAACCGGGCTCCGGGCGCCCTGGGCCGGCAGGAGCCCGAGCACAGCGTAGCCACGCGCCGCTTTCCGCCCGCTAGTCTCTCGCCTCCCGACCGCTGCCAGGCGGGCGCGGATCGATGCGCGTTATCAGCCCCCGCCATCTCGAGCCCTGTTATTGACACGTCCGGCTCCCTGAACCTCCGAAAAGCTGCTTTGATTGACTCGCCTGATGGATCGAGTGATTGAGCTGTCAGGCCGCTGGACTCGGGCTGGCCGGGAGGCTACGATTTTATTACAAGTGTCCGTGCCTTGCGCGCAAACACACAACAACGCTCCAACATGTCCTGGACGCACAAAGCGCAGCGGGGCCGATCTGAGGATCTGCACATCTTCCGGGCCATCTCTGCCCGCTCACCTAATTACTAATCCAAACCAAGGCCTCGTCCCCCCAGCCTGCCTCCTAGTCCTCTCTGCGCCCTGCGCAGGAGTGGGCCTCGTCTTTGTTCTTGGCTGCCTGCCTTCCCGTGGGCCTGGGAATGCAGGGGACTGACTTGCTTTTTCTCCCTGCATGGGCAGTTCAGAGGGGTGAGCCTCAACCTAGGCCTGAGCCTCTGCCGTCTGCTAGGACTGGACTGTTTGTCACAACTGGTGATCTCAGCCCCTGGCCTACCTGGGGAGTCAAAAACTGTCCAGCTTGCCCCCCTGTCGCCAGGTTTGGAGATGCCAGAGAAGACCCTTCTTTCCAGACAGCTTTAGGGTTTAACAGGCCAGACAGTTCATGCCTATAACCATGGCAGGGCCCAGGAAGTAAACGCCAGAAGACTTGGGTGAGGAGAGGATGGACAGGAATGCATGCTTCACAGGCACAGCCCGGCCCTTGCTCCTCTCCAGTCGACCTCCTCTTGCCCTCCTGTATCTGGCGCTGGTGCCCTAGCAGCCCTCCTCCCAGGCTGGTATTTGAGGGAGACTTCACCTTCCTCAGGAGGCTTCTGTGGCCCCTTGTCATATCCATGTTGGGAGAAAAGCACAGGTTTTGTTGGGATTGTCCCCCTGTCTCCGTCCCTCTGCCCCTGTTGTGCTTCGTGATGGAGGAAGAGGATCCTCGCAAATACCATGAGCGGGTAGGGAGAGCCAATCTGCCTTGTTTTTGTCGTTCAGGTGTTTTCACCCCTACAACTGCAACATAATTTTTCAAAGTAAATCTAAGGGAGACCCCGCCTGTGCAGCTGGATGGAGGAGTGGGGAGGGCCCTCTCTGTGTTACTAGTACTATCCAAGAGGCAAAGCAGAGGACTGGGGTGTGGGGAGAGTCTTGAGGGTGAGGCAGACGGTGGGGCCTTTTCTCCTCCTTCAGAGAAGAGGCGGCCCTGTCTCTCTGCGGCCCTAGAAAGGGCTTAGGTCAGGCCAAGGAGAAGGATCAGAGGAGGTAGGGTGAGGGCACAAATAGTCCTAGGGCTGGGCAGCGCTATCACCACCCCCTCCTCTCCCCTTGTTTTCGAGGGTCATCGCTAGGAGCTGACGGGGCCTGCTGGTAAATGTGTGGGACTGCTTCTTGAGGGGGCATTAGTCTGCGGGCAGGAGACAAGGAGCCACCCCTCAGTGGCCAGTCCCTGAGGCCCTGCCATCATGTCCCAGCCTGAGCCTCTTTTCATCTCAGGGCCTCCAGAGCAGACTCCTGAACCCCGACTCTGGGCTGGATGGGGTTCCAACTATCTCTCCATCTGGGATTCCTGCCTTCTTGGCCGGGAAGTGCTGTGATTTCGCTTGTCCCCCGCTCTCCTGTAATGAATTGGCGTGTGGGGTGTACCTACAAGCTCGCCAGTTTTTCTTTGCGGCTCTTCAGGCCTCCCAGAAAGGAACCCAGTGATCCCCGTGGCCAGGCAAGGGGCGCTAGATCCGAGGGGCTGGCCGGCCACAGGGAGTCGGGGGGCGGGGGGCGCAGCAGGGCGTCGACAAGCGCCCCGGAAGCGCGGGGCGCGATCCGGCCTCGGCTCGGCAACTCTCACGGCTTCGTCTGCCCTTTTCCCTCCCTCCCCTCTGCCCTCGTCCCCACCCCCACCCGGCCCTCTCCGCCGCTGCAGGTCCGCGCACCAGAAAGCTGAAGAAGAAGAAGAACGAGAAGGAGGACAAGCGGCCACGGACGGCGTTCACGGCCGAGCAGCTGCAGAGACTGAAGGCGGAGTTCCAGGCAAACCGCTACATCACCGAGCAGCGGCGGCAGACCCTGGCCCAGGAGCTCAGCCTCAACGAGTCCCAGATCAAGATCTGGTTCCAGAACAAGCGCGCCAAGATCAAGAAAGCCACCGGCATCAAGAACGGCCTGGCGCTGCACCTCATGGCGCAGGGACTGTACAACCACTCCACCACCACGGTCCAGGACAAAGACGAGAGCGAGTAGCCACCGCGCCCGCGCCCCTCCTGGCTCGGCCACCGCCGCCTCCGCTCCGGGGGGAGCCGGAGTCCACGAAAGGAGGGAGGGGGCAGCAGGAAAAAGAGGGAGAGAGAAGGAGAGATGCTCAGAATGGAGAGTCACGGTGAAACGAAGCATTTCTAAATAGCGAGAAAGACTGGGACACGTGCTAGCGAAAAATCAGATCTCTTGTCTGTTCACAGTATAAGGGACGCAACTGCGGACTCCTTACAGCTCTATTTAGCCAAACCGCTTACGACCTTGTATATATTTAATTTCAGGTAAGGAAAAGAAATATGTGTAGCGATGTCTATTTGCTGGACATTTTTATTAATCTCCTTTATTATTATTGTTATAATTATTATAATTATTATAATTATTTTATCCCCCACCTCCGCCTCTTTGCCCCCAGTTTCCTTGACGTTGCCTTTTTGCTTTGAATGTCCTCGCTTCTCTGGTGCCTCCCGCCGCCGCGCTGCCCCTCGTTTCTCTGGGACTTTTCTTTGTATGCGTGAGAGTGTGTTTCCTCTCGTGTGTGCCCTTCGCTTCTTCCTTCCCTTGCCAGCCTCTTCTGTCGGTCTGTCTGTCCTGCTCCCCATTCGTTTTCCCGAGACTTGTTGAGAAATACGACCCCACACAGACTGCGAGACTGAACCGCCGCTACAAGCCAAAGATTTTATTATGTTCAGAAACCAGTAGTCTGAAATAAAGTGTACACTGTGCTCACTTGCGCTGGCGGCCCTCCTCTTTGCGGGCTTGGGAAGGGCGTGGGCCGGGGCTCCCACGGGCTGCCGCGTCCTCAGCACCCCCGCGCACACCGTGCGCACCCGTGCACACTTCGGCGGGAGCAGCGGGCCTGGGACCCCGAGGGCTGAGACACCGGGCCGGGCCTTAAGGTCCCCGCACAACGAAAGAGTGGCAGGGGAGGCGCGGGGGCAGGGACGTTCCCCGCTGCGGGTTTGGCAGGGGTCGGGAGGGTCTGCCCGGACACTCCTGGTCTCCGCTTGCGTTCCAGTGAACCCGAAGGCCGAAAACCCGAGTTCTGGCTTTGGAGACGTGGCCGGGGCTGCTCCTTGCGCTGGGCAGGGCTCAACCAGCCGCGCGGCCCCCTCCTCTTCAACCTGCTTCTGGCTCCATCCTGCACCACTTCTTTTTCCTTTTTTTCTGCTACGGGTTTTTCTCTCGGTTTTCTCCGGCAGAAGCAGAAGGCCTTCTCAGTGTGAGGCGGAGGTGGGGAGCTCCCTCCGGCCTTGAGCTGCCCGCTAGGGTGAGGAGCCCCTCAGGCAGCCGCTAGGTCGCCTTAATTCCACCGCTCTTCGTTTGGGGAAGTGATTCAACTGGTGAAGCGGTGTGTTGGGGGCGGCTCCTGGAGCCTGGAAGGGCTCAGATCCCATGGCCAGGCCAGGCCGGGGGAGAGGAGGCTGGGATCCTGGGAAGCTGCGCTGAGCACCGGCCGCTGGTCCTGCTGCAGGGTTCCCCCTGGACTCCCACTCAGAGGTGGGCAGAGGCCTGCCAGGTCCAGACGGAAAACCGAAGCAGGGCCCACCCCTCTTGAATGCTAACAAAGCCTGGCTTGCTTCCTGAACGTGCAGGGTGCAGAAACCAGCCCCTAGAACACTCCTCATTCCTGCACTTCCCAGAGGGACATGTCGGCCTCTAGCCCCTGACCCTGGGGCTTGCCCTTCCCGGGCAGATGCTGGGTCTGTGCACACTCAGTGGATGGGGGTAAAAGGGGGGCTCCCTCCTCAGGAGATACTAGCTTCCATTGGTCCAGGATTCCTCCCCCCCCTTTGTAAATTTCACCCCTTCCTTTTTCTCTCCTTTACACCCGGATCGTATGTACACGTGTCCCTGTACGTGTGTGGTTGGATTCGTAAGTGTTCGCGCATGCTTGTGTGCATATATGGTCACGTGCAAATCTGGTGCATCTGAGTGCCCATTTTTACGTATTTCTGCAAGGGTGAGTGTTGTGCAATTGGGTACATTTCTCTGTAGTCAGATGCACATTTGGATGCTGGTGTTTGTGAATTCAGGGTGTGTGTGCACGCGCTCGTTTGTTTGCGTGCCTGAATGTTTGCAGGCATGTCTGTGGGGTCTATGCACGCGTGGAAACTCTGTTATGTGGGTTCTTCCCTTGAGTTTCTTTCCTGTTGTTGCCACAGGATTGATTTTGTGAAAAGTAACAATGACCAGTCATTCTGCCTTTTTTTATTGAAAATCTCTGCTTGATGTCCTATTCACTCCTGGGGAAGGGGGAGTGTTGGTGCTAGGCCCTCAGACCAGGAAGCCAAGGAGCCCTCCAAGTCTCTTCTCAAGGGTTTAGGGGCTTAGTTGCTTGGCCGCCTGGAGTGAAGTTGGAGGCATTTGACACTGCCATGGGTCCCCAAATTTCATTGCAATAAGCCTCTTCCTTCCATCTTCCATTCTTTTCTTGGGTGCGTGGAGTAACCCCTGCACATAATAGGTGCTCACCCGATCCTGAGTGTGCAGAATTGAGAGCAGTGAGATGAGCCCTTTCCTGGAGATGGCCCAGGTGAGTTGATTGCTGGTGGCTGGGTGTTTATACACTGCTTCTCTTAGGGGGTGCTGTCTGGAATCATCAAGCTCTCAAGGCCTTCAGGGTAGGGAGTCTGAGGCCTGGGGTTCAAGGCACTCCTCCCCTAGTTTAGACAACTCAGCCCCAGACCCTTCTCCCTCTCCGAGCACATCCAGAAGTGATGTTGGGGGGTGCTCAGCTCTACAGAGAAACATCTCACTTTGAGTGTCTGGGAAGTGGGCTACCCTCCCTGCTTCCTTCTGCACTGTAGGGTCCCCAGCCCCTGCCAAGCCCACCGGGCCCACAGACTGAGGAAGGGGCCAATGGGAGTAGCTGTGGCAAGACCTTGCGCTGTGACTCCAGGAAGCATCCTCTTTCCCCTCCCCCCACCAAGAGATCAAAGCCAAGGGCCCTTCTCCTTGACCGTTGGCGGGAGAGGAGAGTCCCCTCTCTTGGTGACTGTATTTCAGAGTGTATAGGTGGAGTCATTATTATGCAATTTGATTTCTGGCTCATTATCTCCTTTTATCTTCCAATCACTAAGAGCAAATAGAATTCTCCCCATTGTTCAGTGGAGGAAACCGAGGCTCAGGGCACTTACCTTTTGTCCCTGGCTCCTCTGTGGCTGTGTGTCTGTCTCTGTGTCCACGTTATTCTTTAGAACTGCCTTAGCTTCGGGAATCTAGCCGAGACTCTGAAGTCAGCCTCCAGAATGACTTTCCTTCCCGTCTTGGCTCCCTCTCCTTTCCCGCTTTTCATTCTTCCTGATTGGGGCAGAGGAGAGGGAAGGCGGACTCGGGTTAGGCCTCTTCCGTGCACCCCCCTAAAAAAAGAAAGTAATAATAATCATAAACAGGCATTGATTTCTCTGATTTACTGGGCTGGCCTAGTGAGCGGCCTGTAGATTAAAGTCTGGGCCTGCAGTGAAATAAATACTGGAGCACACCGACCGTCTCACTTCCTCATTTTCTGCCTTTTTTTTTTTTTTTTAAAGATTGGGTGGAACCATAGACTTAAATCTTCCCCAACCCAGGAGGAAACACGTGCTAGCCAGGTCCAAACAGTATTGATCCCTGGCCCTTTTCTGAGGGCCAAGTTTTTTTTTGTTTTCTCTATGGAAACTCTCTTTCCTTCAGTAGGGCCAAGGGAGGAGGCTAGGGATGGGGTGGAGGAAGGAGAGGGGAAAGAGGAAGAGGGGGTATTTAGGTATTTAGGTGTGTTCTATGTCTCTGTGTCCGTGTATGTTTGTGGCTGAACTGTGCGTAGGCATTTGTACAGGGGTGATATTGAGTATACGTATTTAGTTACTCAGATGTTCGCCGTGTGTTCTATGTCTCTGTGTGCATATATGTTTGTGGTTGAACTGTGCGTAGGCATTTGTACTGGGGTGATATTGAGTATACGTATTTAGTTATTCAGATGTTCGCCGTGTGCTCTATGTCTCTGTGTGCGTATATGTTTGTGGTTGAACTGTGCGTAGGCATTTGTACTGGGGTGATATTGAGTATACATATGGTAGGTTTGAGAGGTGCAGAGTGCGTTGCGCGTATGGGCATCATAGTGATTGGCTGGTGTTTGTGAGTGTGGATGTGTGTCTGGCTCTCCACTCAGACGCCCTCGGCCAGGCTGCCCAGGGCACAGAGCAGTGAGCCTCCGGCCTGCCCCCACCTGGTCCCACAGGTGGCAGGGCTTCCAGAGATCCTGTCACCAGGGAGGCCACTGTACTCCCCTCTCCCCCGCCCCTTCTTCCCTCAGTAGAAAAGGCCAAGCTGAAGGGGCAAGGATAGCCCTGACTGACTCCCAGGTGGAGGCCAAGGCCAAGTCAGGGTTGGAGGGGGTCTCAGTGTCAAGGCTGGAGGGAGCCTTGCCACATTCCTCTCTGCAGGTGGAGGTGTATGCCTGGGATTCTCTGGGTGGCCATCAATTCCTCCAGTGCTCAGAATATCTTTTCTTTTGCCTGTTTGAGAAAAGCCATTCACAGGCACCCCTCCCCACCAGCACCTCCCTTTGCACATCCCTGGGAACGGGGCAGAGAGGTGCAGGGAGGCCATCCCTCACTCCTCCTCTAGTCTTGCCTCACGGCCTGGCCCCCCTTTAATTTGGATGCCACAACGGGTTCAGATCGGAGATGGTGTTCATCCCCCATGGGGGGCAGAATACTGCTGCATCTCTCCTCACCCCCACGCCAGAGCTCAGCTTTCCTTTCCCATTTTGAACTCGAGTGAGAGGAGAACTCTCGTGTGGCAGCTGTGGAGAGAGGGAGGGCTGGAGTCTGCCAGCCTCTACCTCTCCTCAAATGCTTTAGATGACTCTTTTCATGCAGTCCCAGTGCTGGGGGCGGGAGGGGTGGCTCAGGGATTCTTGAATAAAAATAATTCATTTTACAGGAGACGGAAAAAAAATTGAAAAAATCCAGGTTTAGAGAGGGAAAGTGCCTCACTCAAACGCATAC